AAAAAAAAAAAAAAAAAAAAAAAAAAAAAAAAAAAAAAAAAAAAAGAGAGAGAGAAAAAGAATCAAATCTAACGAATCTGAAGATCTTTGCTACAATATGATCGCGATTAATTTTGTATTTGAAACTAATTGATAATTAATACTTATTGCTAAAACTTAAATCTATAGAGTGTATTTGTCTTTGCTATTTTCAAATTTCCTTTCTTTTTCTTCCTCTCATTTTCCAATGCTAAAATTTTATATTATACAGAGCACCTTTTTTATAGTTTTTGAAAATGTTTTATAATTATACATATAACACGCACAACATAATATCATACATACACATACACAACACCATTCTCTATTCATTTAATGCATTACTTCAAACACATTAATGTACTTCTTTCTACAAGTCTTGTGACATAATTAATACTTTTGTTCATATTTTCATATACACTATCAAATGAAGCATCAAAAATACATAATTCGCGATCATCAACACTCGACATTCTTTCGATTTCTCTAACTTATACAATAATTTACAAAACATAAATAATTACTAATAATAATTCTGCATGAGTAAAATATAATAGCAAAAGAATTAATGACAATAGCATGTTATAATAATATAAATTGTAAGAATGAAATAATAAGTAAAAGTAGTTACAATATTAAAACAAATACTAATTTATCTTGGAATTTTCTTTCTTGTTAAAAAAAAGATTCACTGTCATTTTTCATTAAATTTTCTCTTGAGAAAAATCATTAAATATTTTTTATAAAAATTAATTTTGCATATTTTAATTGGATACATATTGTAAAATATTTTAAATTGAAAAGAATTTATTCTTTTCAGTTATACCGATCTAAATTTTTATTTCAATGAAACAAACACTGACGTGTATTATTTTATCTCATATATTCATTATTCATTGTATATATTATTTTTTTTCTCGAGAATATATCGCATAATATACTAAATTATTTTTATCTTTCTATAATTGCACAATATTCTAAATGACTATAATCTATATTTTTTTTTATGTGAAATATTTACGAATTATATTCTCGAATCAAATCCATTTCGAACATTGGTTCCCAGA